TTTCAGGTGGGCTGGAGATCAGCTAGCACCAAAACCCATATTATGAATATCCAACATTGTATAGGAAGGAAGGGATTTTTAAAGTGCTCAACAAATTTCACACACTTAATATATACTAAAATCAATATAAAGCTTTATTCCATATTTATCATAGAAAAAAAAACATCACATTCGTAGTCTTGAAAGGTATAAAACCAACATGGTACTTCATATGGCTTGAAGTTCACCACGCAGCAGTTCAAGTTGACATGTTTTGCCAAATTTCTGGCTTCTTCAGGAGATTTACAGATAGTTGCATGTAATTGCCACTAAAATAACTAAAATACAAACCATGAGCAAATTGATTTTAGTCATCCATGAAATTTATACAAAGTTAATGACAATACCTACTAAATATTGTTTTTTTTGGGGTTAACCCGCCAAAGCCGTTTTTACCTGGTGTGTCTTGATATATGGAAGACCCAGCAAACAAGCTTCCATTTCTATATCCCCAAAGGAGTCCAAGATGAACCAAAAGAGGGAAAAGGCTGCAACCCACCAATGTGGACCTCCCTACTAACAAACATATCAACACCTCAATACAGCAGGGAAAGAAAGGAAAACAAACAAAAAAAAAAAGATAGGTGTGTGTATGTATATCTATCTATCTATCTATATATATATATATATATATATATATATATATATATATATATAAATATATAATCTCAAAATAAACAAAATATCTTAAACCTACCACAGAGAACTGTCCAAAGCCCCTTGTTGGCGAACTTACTGGCCTCAGAGAGTCCAAAGTTTTGATATCAGTAACTCAATACTTTAACCACTTGCCCTTCTGAGGATTTACCCCCCTTAATGGCCAGGCCTTTTTTTGCTATTTGGTGCTGCACTATTTCAACTGGTAATTGCGCGGTCATGCAATGTTGTACCCAAATGAAATGTATGTCCTTTTTTCACACAAATAGAGCTTTCTTTTGGTGGTATTTGATCATCTGTGCGCTTTTTTATTTTTCACGCTATAACCAAAAAAAGGCCAAAAAGTTTGAAAAAAAAAACCTATATTTTTTACTTTTGTATCAAGTGGCAGTGACCTACTGACACTGCACTTGCTGGGGGAGAAGGGGGGGGGGGGGAAGTAAGCGTGGGGGCTAAACGCAGGTGCTGGCAGGTGTCGGGGTTGATCCAGCTAACGCTGCATTTTTTTGGGGAGGCTATACTAATGTGAATTCTGGTATAGTGCTGATCTGATCAAAGATATTGATCAGTTCAGACACTATACTAACAATGGAGGTTTATTGTGTATGTGAGCGTGTTTCTGTCAATCAAGGGGTTAAATGTGATTACTGGTGTACTAACAGGCAATTTGACACTATCTGGGAAGGGTGCTGACACTAGTGCTATCTGAAGTCGGCAGCATCACTAATACAGTGATCAGCAAAAACTCTGCACACTGTACTAATAACACTGGTGACAGGGCAGTGAAGGGGTTAACTAGGGGGGGGTGTGATCAAGGGGTTAAATGTGCTCTAGAGTGTTCTAACTGTAATTGTGAAGTGCTTGTATTCACTTTTGTTTGTTGATTCTTCTCTATCTGGGATGTGCCCAAAGGGAGAAGATTTCATCACTTCCTGTCCTGTGTAACTATCAACACAGAACAGGATAGGACAGGGATCGATCATCCGACTTGGGCCAGACACCACTGTCCTAAATTTGATGATTAATCCCTCGGGGATCAAATCGGGGCACCCGTGGGCCGGCGGGGGCGTGCGTGCCCACAAAAACATGGGAACATGAATCACGTGTATATATACATACATGATCCTGCGCACAGGGGCCGACCTGCAGTAGTAAATTTACTGTGGGCGGTCCTTATGCGGTTAAGGGATACAAGAGAGACCCCACCAAACAATCCTATAGATACCTTCAAGTAAAAGAGAAAAGGAAGAAAAAAGGTATAAGTATTCAACCCCAAAAAACGAGCTCAGTAAACTCAACAAAACCGTTATCTGTCCTTAAACTTCCATACCATATACTTGCAAGGTCACAGAAAAGCTGGGTGTAACAGCCATACATCCAGCAAGGGCTGGCTTATATATCCCCCCCACCTTGCTAGTAAATCACCTGCCAGGTGCGAACGCCCGAAATGGGCTCACACATACGCACAAGGTTGTCGGAGGTGACGTCATACGTGCGCAGGAACACCTTAGTGCCATCTTGGAACATCCAATGTTGCCCAAACAGCACAGAGAGTCCAAATAGGGTTTGCCAAAGCGAACCAAGAGGCTGAAAGTTGGAACCTTGTGGCAGACAGAACCCACTAAAGTGCGCTACCCCACAAGGGGACACAAAGCACCCCCCTCCCCCCTCCCGGTCCTTGATTGACCCGATGGTCAATCAAGGACTCTCTAGTAATCCCTATTAGCAAATGGGAAAGAAAAAAATGGGACAAGGGGGAAAAAAAAAAGGGGAAACATATTGGATTCACAAAACATAATACCAATAGGATAGGTCCACATTGGTTAAGGACATTGTAACCTACTGTATTTACATCAATTTCGTATCTACAGCGCCTCCACCTGGTAAACAATTTGAACATACCCCTCAAGTAAACCCACAAAAACCACTCATAACCTAATAATGAGCGGTATTTAAACAATTCAAAATCAAACATTTTTTATTATTGTTAACATTATCCAATTGAGACACCATTTCAGGAATCGGTCCATAGCAGTTGCACCATAACAGCACCAGGGCCCTTTGTCTATAAGAAGGGCTTGTAACTAATGGACTTATTGAGTCCAGGAAATTGACAAACACAATCTTCATGTTTGGATGCTCCCACTACCTCCAAGTTAGGGGCCCCCAGGCAATAGGGGATCATGGGGCCCCCAGGCAAAAGGGGATCATGGGGCCCCCAGGCAATAGGGGATCATGGGGCCCCTGTGTCCTTGCGCAATCTCAAAAATGCCTATGAGAAAGGTACCAGGGGCAGCTCATGGGGCCCCCTACTGACCCCGGGCCCTCAGGCAGTGCCCGAGTTTCCAAATGGTCAGTCCGCCTCTGCTCCTGGTGCAGGGGGTAGCGATGGGGACAAGGTGTGCCCCATCGTATGCTTTAGATTTTGGCTTATAGAGTTGGGGTGGAGGAAATATCAGTGGGATAGAAGTAGTGACCCCTGAAAGAGGCCCATCTTCGTCCCTACTTGCCTCCTGGGCATTAGATGGTTCATCTGAATAATTCCCCTCATCCCACAACTCCATTAAGTCATTAAGTGCCTTCATATCATTTAATGTCATATTACTCAATGACTGTCCAAATATTTTAATTCAGATGAATTTTTTGTATCATAGAGAGCTTAAACATTAATCTGCAGGCAAACAAGTGCACATCTTTAATAAACTCAAAGCGATCAATCTTTTGTGTAGGGCAAAAAGTTAGTCCTAAACTCGACACTTGAATTTGTTCTGTAGTTAATAGATATGAGGACAAATTGATCACTTAAGCTTTTGTTTGGTTGTCAGTAGTTTGGGGTTTGACATTTCCACATTGAAGACCTTCCTGGGATCTGGTGTTGCCTGAGCTAAAAAAAATTGGTGGTGTGCGTACATCACCCCCCATGTGGATTGGACTGACCAGCCCTATTGCTATTTTATGGAATTTTGTGTATGAGAAATAGTAGAAAATGAAGAAGAAATAGTTTCCATATCACCAAAGCAGAGACACCCGAGTAGGATTGTGGTACTGAACAAGCATCAGAATTTCCTGACTGAGAGGATCATGAAAAATTGTGTGTATGACCTGAGAAAGGAGTGCGCTTTGGTGCAGACGTGAGGTCCCTCGCCCTCATATTTCTATTTTTTTATAGGGCCCTTGTGTTTGAGCACTTGATTGAGGCAAATTGACCTGTGAAAAAGACAGAAGAATAAGAAGATGCAGCGTTAGGGTCATTCACGGAAGCTGTTTGATGTGCCATAGCCAAATGCGGCCTTTATCCAGCCCTTGGGGCACTATTCCTCCCGCTGACACACAGGATGGGGCGCTATTCCTCCCGCTGGCACCAGGGGCGGGGCACTATTCCTCCCGCTGGCACCAGGGGCGGGGCGCTATTCCTCCCGCTGGCACCAGGGGCGGGGCGCTATTCCTCCCGCTGGCACCAGGGGCGGGGCGCTATTCCTCCCGCTGGCGCTATTCCTCCCGCTGGCACCAGGGGCGGGGCGCTATTCCTCCCGCTGGCACCAGGGGTGGGGCGCTATGCCTTCCGCTGACATCAGCAACGGGGCGCTGTTCCTACTCCTAATGACCAGCGGTGCTATGTCTTTTATTTATTTTTACTCCACTGACTCTGGGGCATTTTCTACTTCCGGGAGCGCACAGTCCAGCCCCTCAATGTTTGAAGGACAATAAGCTGGCCCATTGTTTAGAAAGTTTTGAGACCCCTGCTTTGAGAGAAAAACTTAGGTTGCCATTGCTGGCCTCGGCTTCTGAAAATGTTACTTTCTTGGTTGTCATGTGGAATCAGTGGTTTTATGGTTGTTGACCGAGAACAAGTATGCAGATCAGGCGTTCTGACTTCACTTCCTGCATGCTTGTTCTATGTGCATAATTCAGAAAGCACCGAAGCCATTGGCTCATCATGACTGGTAAGGAACTGGCATTTTCCAAAAGAAGTCCTCAATGAAAGCCTACCTATTTCTCTCAGCATTGATAAATGCAGGCTTACCTCACCCCATGTCACAGCACCACAGTGCATTATAATGAATTGAATTAAATATTTTTTATGACATAATAATAATGTTAAAAACAAAAAAGGTATATAAACAATGCATCGCATAGCCCCTTTGTATTGCACACCAGTGGTGCGAACGAACTGCTGCTGGTGCGAACGAACACTAACTTTTTTTATGAAACATTTTCTAACAGCTTGTAAGAGTATTATAAAATGTCATTTGTGTCCTATTTCTACTCTAAATAATGTCCTTTCCTTCTACGTGTGATTCTTGCAGCCTGTGGAAGCGACAGATGATGCCTTCTGGGATCAATTTTGGTCAGATACTGCCACCTCTGTACAGGACGTGTTTGCTCTAATCCCAGCTGCCGAGATCCGTGCTGTTCGTGAAGAGTCCCCATCAAATCTAGCTACACTATGTTACAAGGTGATGTCATAGAGATGACCTAGGAAGCTGTTAAAGGGAATTTCTGTGGATCAATATGGGAACTGCCATTGCTGACAGGTTTTTATAGGTGCAGCATGTGTGGGGTTGTCATCTGCTCTGCTACTTAGTAGGTCACTAATCTGAAATAATGGATTGTGGGCTTCAAATCTACTCTAAAACATGTGGATAGAAGAATCTCCCTATGCCAGCTATTACATCCTGACAGCTGCATCCACAGCTGTCAGAGTACCTGAACAGTAACTGCATCTGATTGGATGCAGCTGCTGTTCTGCTGACAATTTTCCTCTTGGTTCTTTTGATTTTTAGTTCAAAGGATGTTGGGCGGGAAAGTACGGTCATGGGCACCTATGGTTTGCATTTTGGTCAGTTAGTCAGGGACCAGGTGAATTTGCTCCGTGTATAGCCAGCTTAAAGCAAAACTAGTCAAAATACTTACCTCCTAATGATCCGTCATCTGTGGGAGTCCCTTGGCATCATCAGCATTTTGTTCCCAGCTTTATCTGAATGTTGTTCTTCAGCAATATTCGTTTAGCAGCACAGGATGACGTAACTTTTTCACATGATCAGGAGTCAGTCATCCTGGCCACAGGGACCATGCTGGCAATGCAAACTGAGCTGCATGGGTGCAGCACAGTGTACGTGCCACAGGAGATTGCTAGCAGGCAGGTGGGCTTCTTTTAATGCAGATGAGGCCATTGCATCTCTCCTCTGTGATAAATAACCTGACTGTTCTTCAATCACTTGTGTGAAAAATAAAATTCAGCAGCACCAAAACTGTAACTGCTGACTTTTCATAAACAGCCACTCAACTGTCCTACGTTCCAGCTGTGTCCTCAACGAGGTGTTTTTTTCAGTGGTTTTTGGTCCCCGGTGGTGGCATCTTAACTGTAGGTAACCGACAGTGACTGCTTGCGGCTTCACATCTGGCTGCCCACTGCGCATGCGTGAGCCGTGCTGCACTTTGTGTGTGGTCCCGCAGTATTTTGGACCTGGGATCTGTGGCATGTTCCAGAGCACTGTGGGCAGGGAGGAATGGCGGGGGGGGGGGGTCGGAGGAGACCTTCTGCTTGCATTTTCACTCTGAGTGAAAGTGGGTACCCATCAAAACCGGGTACCTGTTTATCCCCCGACCCAGAAAAAATATATGCCAAATATGACAGAGGATGAAGAGCAGAACTTCCCCTTTTTGGATAAAGTTCCCCTTTAAATTTGTAGTGTTGCCGTTTGTTCCACTTTAAGTTTTTTTTCATACTTCACTAGCTTCATGCTTGTTCCAGGGCATTGATTGCTAAGTAATATAACTTATTGCTAAGTGATTAGACTGACCTTTCTGGAGCTTGCAACAAGGATATTTATACTCACAATTTCATGTTTAATTTACATGATGTATAGACTTCCATCTGTTCATTCGTTTAATATGTTTTCCATGGCTTTATTGTTCAATCTTAACATGGCGGATAATTGTGCCTTGCAGGCTGTGGAAAAGCTGGTGGCTGGTGCCGACAGTGGGTGTCACTCAGACAAAGAAAGACAGATGGTGTTGAATTGTGCTCGGTTGCTGACTCGAGTACTACCGTACATCTTCGAGGACCCAGACTGGAGGGGATTTTTCTGGTCCTCGGTGCCTGGAGCAGGGAGGAGCCAGGTGAGCTACATTTTGTATACTGATACTGGTGCATTGCAGTTCCTGTCGTCTCCCCAATCCATCTGGATATGTTCTCAGAGTAGGATGGACAGATTTGTTTTTTGTTTTTTTTTTGTTGAAAAATATACTTTATATAGTATTAGTATAAAAAACTCAATCGTATACCTGTACTGCAACGCAGTGCCTAATGTAGTGTGCGGAGCAAAAAGTTCCCCAAACCATCAAGTCATGCATGACGCCGATTAACCCGAGACTGTTTGTGGTCCCCCAAGGTTCCACCAGAGTACCTAGCGGCGCAATGTCAGATGTGCAGTGCCTGAGCTAGACCCCTGTCCCACACATCCTACATGGCACCGTAGCATGCAAAACATTACCAAATTAACAAAAAACATCCAATAAGCTGTGGGTGTGATTGGGGGGGGGGGGGGTAGTAGGAGAGAGGACTGAAGGAGGGGAAACCGACCCAAAGCTTTATTGAAAGGATAAAGACACTCAAGGGAGAGTAGAGGGAAGGGGAAATCTTCAGACATCCTCTCCCTCCTTGAAGTCCATCAAGTTATAGTCTCTGAGCAGGCTGTGGACCGGTCTGCGACAGTCCTCTATGGATGTCCTCTCCCGCTGGTGGACCATAAAGCGCCCTTGAAACAACACACAGCACCCAACAGGCGCCATCAATATCCTCCTGATTTTAAAGTCCCACAGAAAAGTCTGTTCAACACACCAAAGTGTCCTTGAGTTCTGGTTCCAAGGCCCTCAACAGGTCCTGAGCAAAAGAGCACTCCCATAAAACGTGTTGAGCAGTTTCCTCCTGGATGATGCAAAAAGGGCTGTATCTGTATCTGTTCAGGTTCCTGAGTGGCAACTCCCCTTGGATTGCCATCCTTGCCAGATCCTTGTGCCTGTTGGTGAGTCTCTTTGAAACATTCCTCCAGACCACCTTGCAAGTGGCTGAAGGCAGACCTGGAACAGATTCCAAAATGTCCTTGGCTCTAATCAGCTTGTAGATAGTCTTTGGCTTCCACAAGTCGGGGTTTACTCCATGTAGCCCCTGCTCCTTGAGAAACTTAAGTGTCCAAGTAATACCAAGGAGTGTCTCAGTTGTAGGGGATGAAACTGTCCCATTTGACCTCCAGAGGGGCAAGAGGAAAAAAAACATGACATGGAGTTTCCACCAGAGTCCATTGTCCGGTTCAGCAAAGTCCCGCTGATGCAGTTGCAGGCAAAGAACACCCTCAGTTGAGTGGCGATTTCAGGCAGGCCCTTACCGCCCTTGAGGGTTTCTGCTTCACTCTGTCCGTCATGGAACACCAGATGAAGTAAAACACCGCCCTGGTGATGGCCTTGCAGGTGATGCCCTGTGGTGGCCAGGCCTGGGCGAGGTACTGCAACACAGGGAGAATCTTGCTGTGGAGTACCAGTGTCTTCCTTCGATAATGAGGTCTCTGAGGCTCCAAAGTACAAACTTTTGCTTCATTTTATACAGTCTCTCCACTCAAGACTTCAGGGCTGCGCCTTAGCTCCAAACCAAACTCCCAGAAATTCGATGAAGTCCGTCTTGGCAGGAACCACTTTCCGAAAAGCAGTAGGATGGACAGATTCCCTTGTTAATCTTATAGAAAAGAAGAGTAATATCACATCATCTGTCACTCTTTCTACCCTTAATATCCTAATACCTTTCCCCCTTCTCCAGTGGTATCTTTCTGTGTTGGTTCGTCGCAGCTGAGTACTGGACTTGTGTGGACAAGTACTCCTTTGTGCACACTATACTGCACAATGCTCATTCTACAAACTATGCTGTACATTGTATACTTCACACCACTCCACTATGAACACTGTGCCCTACAATATATACACTTCACTCTGTATATTGCTCCCTACAATACTCCAATCTGCATGAGGCATGTGGGGCAGTTTCGGTGAGGTATGTGTAAACACACTTCACATGCTACCATTCATCCCTGGAGAAGGTGCACTGTGATAGAAGCTGCACTAAAGATGCATATACTGCACCAAAATGCAGCAGTGTGAATGCATCCTTTAGACTTGCCAGGCAGCAGTTCTTTGTGTGCATAAAATTTTGATGTGCAAATGGAATCACTTTTTCTAGTATGAACATAGGAAGGATAACAAGTTACTTTACATTTTCTGAATGAGATAAGTTATAACACCGCAATCTGAATTCAAATGTGCTGACAGTAAGGAATGTATTTAACTACCTCCAGTCTGAATCAGCATCTTCTTGCTAGAAAATTACTTCGAACCCCAAAACATTATATATTATTTAACCATTTGCCGCCCAGCTAATGGCCGTTTGGCGGCTTCAAAAGTGTTCCTGCATTCCGGGTGCATGCCATTTGGCGTGCTCCCGCACATGCGCAGTTTGCGCTAATGCAGAGCGGCGCAGCAGCGCGATTTGTCACCGGCCGTGTACCTCGGACACGGTCGATGACGGATCCGAGTACCGGCTCCCGTTGCTGGTACCATGTGACCAATCACAGCAGGTCACATGACAGTTGTATACAATGGATGGCTTCATTCATGCCATCCATTGTATACTAGTGCCTAGCTGTGAATAGTCACAGCTAATCACATGCACATGTCATGTGATTAGCTGTGACCAAATCACAGCTAAGCACAAAAAAAAAAAAAGCAAAAAAAAAAGCTGAATGAATCGATTTCATTCAGGTAAATGCTTGCTTATAGCAAAGTAATTCTTTGCTATAAGTAAATTGTGTAAAAAAAAAAAAAAAAAAAAAAACTGATCACTTCCTCAAAGTAGTACAATGTTACTATGGTAACATTGTACTACTTTGGTCATAGTAAAATATGAAAAAAAATCTTAAAAAAAAATGTAATAATAAAAAAATTAAAAATAATTAAAAAAATTTAAAAAAAATAAAAAATATATATATATATTTTTTCATACTGTCACCAGTCAGTGTCCCTGTTCACCGCCATGCCAGTTATATGATGAGGCTGTACTGCACTGGTGACAGTATGTAAAAAAAAAAATAGTGAAAATAATTTTTTTAATTTTTTCATTTTCCGAAAAAAATTATGACAAAAAAAAAATACAACTTCAAAAAACTCGCCATGCCTCTTATGAAGTACGTCAGACTGTCTGCTCTGCAAAAAGGGGTCATTTGGGGATATCTGTACTATTCTGACATTCTTGGACCTCAAGAAATTAGATTGGCCGTCAGTACTTCAGGATTGATCAATATTCAGATCTATACCATAGTTTGTGAACTCTGCCTTTCCTACAAACTAAATAATACATCCTAATTTGGGTTATTTTCACCAAAGACATGTAGTAGAATACATCTCGGCCTAAATTTATGAAGAACAATTATTTATTTGTAAACTTTTATAACAGAAACAAAGAAAAATGTGTGGTTTTTTTTTTTTTTGTTTTTTTTTCAAAATTTTTGGTCTTTTTTTGTTAATTTAGCAAAAAATAAAAACCCCAGCGGTGATTAAATACCACCAAAAGAAAGCTCTAGTTGTGTGAAGAAAATTATAACATTTTAGTTTGGGTACAGTGTTGTATGACCGCGCAAATGTCATTCAAAGTGTGAGAGCGCTGAAACCTGAAAAATGGCCTGGGCAGGAAGGTGTAAAATTGCACGGTATTGAAATGGTTAAGCAGAGGCCCTGGAGAATAAAATGGTTGTTACAGTGTTTTATGCTGCACAGTGTTGTATCAAACACAAACTTTCAGGAAGAAAAAAATACACTTTAATGAAGTTTAGTGCATACAAACACAATACCCAATCCCTTTGTAAAATATAAAAGATGATGTTACGCCAGGTAAATAGATGCCAAACATGTCACGCTTTAAATTTGCACACGCCCCTGGAATGGCAACAAACTATGGTATATGAAATTATCCATAGGCGATGCTTTAAAAGCCTTTACAGGTTACCGGTCTAGAGTAACACAGGAGTTCTGGTTTAGAATGATTGCTCTCACTCTGATATTTGTGGCATTTCTTCACATATGTGGTGTGATCATGGTTTACATATTCATATGGGACCTGCATGAGCGGAGGAAGGGGGAGGATACTTTAAATTTATTTTAAATGTTTATTTTTTTGACACTGTACCTTTTTGATAGCATGGGTTATGACAGGTGCTCTTGATTGAGAGTTCAGGGGTTTGTTAATCTCCTTTGGAATCTCCTATGCACTCCAAAGTAGCTCATTAAACCAATTATTGGCTATTTTCAAGCTAGTAAGTGTTTGTAAACAAACTGAAACTAAAAGTGACAAATCCAGCCCTCCAAGCCATTTCATGTGGCCCTTGCACCTCTCCTGCAGGTACCCCCTTGTCTCTGCCTCCACCTTGTCTCAGCAGTCAGCAGCAGAGAGGAGAATAGAACTCCACTGCCAAATCCTGCACCTCTCAATTCAGCTGCCGCATCCCCTCATCTCTGCTTCCCCTGGTCTCAGCATTCAGCAGACTCTGGTAACTGACTCCACTCCTCCTCTGGTCCTCCTCCAGACCCTGCACTTTCTGCTTTCCAGCTCTGCCCCCAAAGGGGGTGCATGGTGATGTTAGGGAGGGTGTGGGAATTCTTGACATCTGATGTAATTGGGCGTGGGGTGCTCTGGATATCTAGTCTTACAGATACGTCCGGCCCTTTGAGGGCAACCATAATGCTGATACGGCCAGCGATGAAATGGAGTTTGACACCCCTGCTCAAAGGCATCTGATGCAACAGGTCGCATCGATAGGGCTCTCTGGTGGGATGGGAGAGTCTGGTAAAGGCAGCCGATGGAAGGGAACTCCTTTCTGCCGCATTTAAAAGTGATCGGACAGATTGCGCTAATCTGGTCACTTTTACATTGTAGGGAATCTCCAGTTCTAAGAAAAATATCTGGGTCATGGCTGCAGCTGCAGACATGACCCATATATCGCCACTCTTTTCCAAGCATATACAGGTACATCCTAAGGATGGGGAGTGATTAATACATTAGCAATTCACTCAGGAAAGGTGCTTGTACATCCATACACTGGGTGAGATTTACTAAAACTGGTGCAGCTGTAACCAATCAGCTTCCAGGTTTTATTGTAAAAGCTTCATTGAACAAGCTGAAATTAGAAGCTGATTTGTTACTATGCATCGCTGCACCCGATTCTGGGTTCACCAGTTTTAGTAAATCCTCCCCCACTGCATGAATGGGGCAAACAAAATGCATGTTATAGGCCGTTTCCTATGCTGGTTGAATGTTTTTCATTGATTTAAAGTAGAGAAATACCTAACTTGGCACTAGATGGTGCCACGATCATGGGAAATTATAATGTTTGGTATCATCTAGTGGCCAAAAAAATGTTGTTTATCACTTTTAAATAAAATGAAAATCACTCCACTAGCACAGGAATTGGTGTAATGTTTTTTTTTTTTGGGGTGGAGGAGGGGTTCCTCTTTCGCACAGGACAAATGTACTTGAAGTTTCACTGGTCACATTTTTATGTGAAGGTTTTATAAATACACCCCTAAGTGATATTCTTTTAATAGCTGCTGTTGAGTTGCACATAAAAAAAAAAAAAAAAGTACCTTCAATGAAGCACATTGAACCAAAGCATCACTCCTCACTTGGTTTTTTGATCATTGAGTAGCACAGAAGTATAAGAAAAAGTAGGTCTTGGAGGAGGAGGTAGTTAGAACTTGAGAAGTTGTGTATGAAAAAAAGGAACATGGATACATGTAGTAGCTGAATTAATTTCTCTGCCTAAGGGAGTTAGTGGGAGATCTGTTAGATTCATACTGAGATCTTACCTGCCGGCCTTAACTACACAGGGTTTGCATTTTCCAAGGAAGCCAGGAGTTAGTTATATTCTGCTGATTTATTCAAATTCTATCTGGTAGAGCTGTGTCTATACGAATGTCTATTTTTAAATGCAATTGCCGGCTTTTTTTTTTCTTCTTCACTATAGCTCAAAGAATTTGCTGCCACTTTCCCTGGAGTAAAAGGAAACTGTTTCTTTTAAGAAACTAAAAGGAAACATTGTTTTTTTTTAACACGGGGAAATAAACTAAAAGGAAACTTTTTTCTTTCTTTTAGCTGGGGGTAAGTGACAGTTGAATCTGTTTAAAAACTGGCACCATAATAAATAAATTAAAAAAATGGCGTGGGAGTTCCCCCCCCAAAATCCATACCAGACCAAAATGCTTGGTATGGATGGGAGGGGGGAACCCCACGCCGTTTATTTTATAATTTTGGGGGGACCCCACGCCCCCCTAAAAATTACAGCTGAATGTAAAAGAATTGCAGGCAATTAAAAAATAAATAAATGAATATTTATTTTTTAATTGGCTGCAATTCTTTTACATTCAGCTGTCAGTGGAGAACCTGTCAGTGAGGTCACTGTATGGGACCTCTGTGTGATGTCCTGATCATGTGATCAGTGATTGGCCAATCAGTGATCACATGAATAGTAGTGGGGCAAGATGTCACTTCCTGACATCATTGTTTACTACTAGTGAAATGTGAATGATCACAGAGGTCACATGGTACAAGGCTATTCACAACAGCCTTGTACCATGTGACAAGCTGTGACCAATCACTGCTCTCACAGTATTTCTCAATGACTGCAAGAATGCAGCCAGAGAGAAGGAGAAATTATTGCTTTTACAGCCTTTGTGTGTAAAAGCAATCAGTGTAAAAAAAAGAAATCTTCATCACCCCCACAAGTAGTACAGTGTCACCATGGTGACACTGTACTGCTAGGGTGACAGTATGTTAAAAAAAACAATAATATAAAAATGTAAACCGTTTTTAAAAAATTATAATTCTTTGCAAACTTTTATAAGAAAAACACTTATTTTTTATTCAAGATGTTTGGACTTTTTCATTTATATAGCAAAAAAAAAAAAATCCCAGTGGTGAATAAATACCACCAAAATAAAGTTGTAATCCGTCTCAAACAAATGCTAAAAAATTCATATGGGTACAGTGTTGCATGACCGCGCAATTGTCATTCAAATTGTGATAGCACTGAAAGCTGAAAATTGACCTGGACTGGAAGGGAGTGAAAGTGTCTGGACTTGAAGTGGTTAATGAACAGCGACAATAGGTCCACCTTATGATATAACAATGTGAAGCGTACAGCCCATGGCATTGGGTTTTCAGCATACCCTTCTTGTGATCTAGCATTGCAACCATCATCAACAGCTTATTGGAGCTTATTTGTCTTTCAGGATGAGGAGGATGATGAAGACGGGTCTCGTCCTCTTGCTGAATCTCTGCTTCTGGCTATTGCAGACCTCCTCTTCTGCCCAGATTTTACAGTACAGAGCCACAGAAGAAGTGGAACGGTGAGAGATCTCTGAATCTGCATATCCTTCTTCCTTTTTTTTTTTTTTTTTATATCCATTATCTACCATGAAAACAATGTACAGTACACATTTTTTATGATTTGTTTTTAATTGCTTTTGTCGTCAGCAAATACAAGGGTTGTCTACTGTTGACTTTATCTCAAAGTATGTATGCACTGACATGTGCATGAGTGCAGGCTACCAGCTGTCACTATATGAGGAATCAATAAAGAATGTCCTATTTAAAGATTAACTTTTACTTGTTGAAAAAAAAAAAAAGCATTCCCTTCTGGGTGATCTATGATATAAATAGCTATTTGTGTCCATTTGCAGAGTGAATCTGTATGGGAGTGGTTTTTTGGAATCTTTTATAACTATCAATCAGCTGCCGTACCTGCAGGGCTCTAAAGAGGAGAATTTCCGGCTCTGCATCCCTTTTTAGAAATTATTTTCCCTTGAGAGTATCTCACCAAAAATGATATTTTTATTGCAGGGGATGCTCAAAATCTGACTTGTATCTTAGAGCAGACTTCTGGGGAAATCAGTAAGCCAATCACATAAGCAGGATATGACATTTCTGGGGGAGTTCTGTACACCATCTGTGTACAGAACGTCTCTGGGTTGCCATATTGGGTTGCGTTTTACAGAAAATTTACAGTGGTGGTTGAAAAGGAAAGGTAATTTTTAATAACATTGAATTACAATATGACTTAAGACGCAATTGTACAGGTGAAACTACAAAAATTAGAATATTGTGCAAAAGTTCATTTATTTCAGTAATGCAACTTAAAAGGTGAAACTAATATATGAGATAGACTTATTACATACAAAGCAAGATAGTTCAAGCCATGATTTGTCATAATTGTGATGATGATTATGGCTTACAGCTCATGAAAACCCCAAATCCACAATCTCAGAGAATTAGAATATTGTGAAAAGGTGCAATATTCTAGGCTCAAAGTGTCCCACTCTAATCAGTCAATTAAGCCATTATTATTATTATTATTATACAGTATTTATATAGCGCCAGAAAGGTTTGCTCAGCGCTGTAAATTATAGTGGGGGGACAGCACATGATACAATAGAGTAACAAAACAATACAATAGGGGTTCGAGGGCCCTGCTCTTTCGAGTTTACAATCTAGAAGGGAGGGGATAGTGGTACAGGAGGGAGTGGTAGGAAGATTGGAGGAGATCGGCTGTTAGCTGAGGGTGGGGTAGGCTTCCCTGAAGAGATGGATTTTCAGGGTGCGCCTAAAGGTGAGGAGGGTAGGTGACAGTCTGATAGATTGGGGTAGTGAGTTCCAGAGGATGGGGGAAGTCCTGGAGAAGTCCTGCAGTCGAGCGTGGGAGGTGGAGTCCAGGGAGCTAGAAAGTAGGAGGTCTTGTGGGGAGTGAAGAGTACTGGTTGGGTGGTATTTGGGTATTTCGGTGATGTAGTTTGGGGCAGCGTTGTGAATGGCTTTGTATGTCAATGTTAGTAGTTTGAATTTAATGCGTTGGGCAATCGGGAGCCAGTGGAGGGAATGACAGAGGGGAGTGGCAGAAGAGTAGCGGATGGTAAGGTAGATGAGTCTGGCTGCTGAGTTCAGGATAGACTGAAGCGGGGATAGTCTGCGATGAGGTAGGCCGGTGAGAAGGGAGTTGCAGTAGTCCAGACATGAGATAATGAGGGTGTGAACGAGTTGTTTAGTAGTGTCTGGGGCTAGGAACATATGTATTTTGGAGATGTTGCGGAGGTGGAGCCTGCATGAGTCTGCCAACGATTGGACATGGGGTTGGAAGGACAGGTTTGAGTCTAGAGTGACACCTAGGACTTTGGCTTGCGGGGTGGACTGATGGTGGCGTTGTTGGTCATGATGGAGAGGGTGGGGGGGGCGTGGGCTGGGGGTAAGATTAGGAGCTCGGTTTTGGAAAGGTTCAATTTGAGGAAATGGAGCTACATCCAGTCTGATATGTCGTTCAGCAGGAGGGTGATACGGGCGGAGACTGAAGGGGTGAGGTGAGGGGTGGAGAGGTAAATTTGCGTGTCATCAGCGTAGAGGTGATAGTTGAAGCCGTGGGTGTGTATCAGTTTGCCGAGGGAGGAGGTGTAGATGGAGAAGAGAAGCCATAACACCTGCAAAGGGTTCCTGAGCCTTTAAATGGTCTCTCAGTCTGGTTCAGTAGGAATCACAATCATGGGAAAGACTGCTGACCTGACAATTGTGCAGAAAACCATCATTGACACCCTCCATAAGAAGGGAAAGCCTCAAAAGGTAATTGCAAAAGAAGTTGGATGTTCCTAAAGTGCTGTATCAAAGCACATTAATAGAAAGTTATGTGGAAGGAAAAAGTGTGGAAGAAAAAGGTGCACAAGGAGTGGACTGAGGCTGGAGTCAGTGCATCAAGAGCCACCACACACAGATGGATCCTGGACATGGGCTTCAAATGTCCTATCCCTCTTGTCAAGTCGCTCCTGAACAACAAACCACGTCAGAAGTGTCTTACCTGGGCTAAAGAAAAACAGACCTGGTCTGTTGCTCAGTGGTCCAAAGTCCTCTTTTCTGATATGAGCAACTTTTGCATCTCATTTGGAAACCAAGGACCCAGAGTATGGAGGAAGAATGGAGAGGCACACACTGCAAGATGCTTTAAGTCCAGTGTGAAGATTCCACAGTCTGTGTTGATTTGGGGAGCCATGTCATCTGCTGGTGTTGGTCCACAGTGCTTCATTCAGGGTCAACGCAGCCGTCTACCAGGAGATTTTGGAGCACTTCATGCTTCCTTCCACAGACGAGCTTTATGGGGATGCTGACTTCATTTTCAGCAGGACTTGGCACCTGCCCACACTGCCAAAAGCACCAAAACCTGGTTCAATGACCGTGGGATTACTGTGCTTGATTGGCCAGCAAACTTGCCTGAACTGAACCCCATAGAGAATCTATGGGGCACTGCCTAGAAAAAGATGAGAGACATGAGACCGAACAATGCAGCCGCTATTTAAGCATCCTGGTCTTCCATAACACCTCAGCAGTGCCACAGGCTGATAGCTTCCATACCACGCCGCATTGAGGCAGTAATTGCTGCAAAAGGGGCCCAAACCAAGTACTGAGTACATATGAATGCTTATACTTTTCAGAGGTCCGATATTGTTCTATGTACAATCCTTGTTTTATTGATTGTGTGTAATATTCTAATTTTCTGAGATTGTGGATTTGGGGTTTTCATGAGCTGTAAGCCATAATCATCACAATTATGACAAATCACGGCTTGACCTATCTTGCTTTGCATGTAATGAGTCTGTCTCATATATTAGTTTCACCTTTTAAGTTGCATTACTGAAATAAATTAACTTTTGCACGATATTCTAATTTTTTCGAATTTCACCTGTATACACTATTTATTTATTTGCTAATTTTTTTTTTTTTTTTTTTCTACAAAAGTGAAGTTAACCTTTAAGTGATGGCCAGCTATGGGAGAAGGTGGCTAGATTTTCAAAAAGAAATCCAGGGACACCCTACTCACCATGACCTCTTTTATTGGTGGTAGGGATATTGGCTCATTTTTTTCCCCTAGTGGCAGGGATATTCGTGGCATGCAAAGCATATTTTTTTTTTTTTTTTCTTTGTGTTCGTCACACCAAAGAAGCTCCGGGAACAAATTTTTATCCCTGAGCCAGGCGTGATTTTACACAAGCATTTTGCTGAGATTCTCGCACGTCAATCGCTGCAAAACTGCACCATGTTTGGGTTACCACTCAGTCGTGACGGTTCTGCCTGTAATTCCTAAACACCAAAATGTTAACGGGGCCTAAAACACTGTTTACGGGGCAGCTACTCTTTCTGGATACTCACCCACCCAATGACAGCCGTTCACACTGGCCACCTCTTTATGATTTCTGGAGCGCAGTTCATAAATGGTGCTCCTGAAAATGTTTTTTTTTGTTTTTTTTTTTACAATATGTTTGCATTGGGTTGGTTAAGGTGTTTCCTGTGCTGTATCCATGCAGGGCAAATTGACAGGTTGACTTTATTGCTGACAAATTATACTCCCCTTTCCTTCCCTCCTTTGTCTGGTACTGGAATTGAAGAGCAACAACCAGTGTTTCTGGGAATATGGGAGCATCAAAGTTAGTCGTCTTCCTCCCATGTGACATTCTGATGTTTGGCAGTTAGCTGATCATGCGCCAATGGCGTCACCTCGAGGGTGGGGAGAGTCTTCTGCCTGCTTGAAGCTTACACGGGGCTGATTCTCTTCACTGCTGGCATAGTGGAGCATAGTAACTAGTGACAGATTGAAATAACTATGAAGGGCAATCCCCAGATATCCTCACTTATCTAATAGTAATTTCCAATAATTGGGGGTTTTAAATTCAAATTATTTTTTTTTTAAACTCATTCAAATTAAATAGAAAAAAATTGAACTGTAATATCAAAGTGAAGCAGATGTAAGATGTGTTGGGCCGCAATTTGCTCATCACTGTATCCGATACTTGTTTTTTTTTTACCTATGTCTGACATGTACACTGAGTATTAACAGAACTTTGTTGGCCTTAGGATGCGGCAGAAGATATCCACACGTTAGACAGCTGTGAATACATCTGGGAGGCCGGTGTTGGCTTTGCACACTCTCCAACCCCTAACCATGCACACGACCTCAACAGGTAGGTGAGCATCTCAACAACAGTCATCGAACTTGACAAGGGAAAGACTACACAATAAGACATGTTGGATGTTCTAAATTCTGCCTCCTTCATATATATTGATTGTGGTGCTTTTTTAGGACAGAACTGCTTAAACTACTATTGACCTGCTTCTCAGAGGCCATGTATCTCCCACCATCTTCAGAGAGTAGTAGCACCGCCAACCCATGGGTGCAGTTTTTCTGCTCCACAGAAAACAGGTAAGTGAATAGCCTATTGGTGTATTTCCATTGTATGTATACATACATACATACATACATACATACATACATACATACATATCTTTCTGCACTACATACAGCATTGCAGTTTAACAAACGGTTTACAACAGTACAGTTTATGGTTGAACTGGATGGACTTTTGTCTTTTTTTTCAGCCAGAATAACTATGTACTCAATTTTTTTTTAACTGCACACCCTTTCCCCCCTCCACACTTGTTTTTTTTTTTTTTTAAACTGTATAACTTTTTTTTTTTCCTGGCCAGTCACATGAGATCATTGGGTTAGGACATGTGCACCGCTCTCTGCAGCATTGTACCATAAACCCAGATGTGCGTGGTACACCCCTGTAAGGTGTTGGGTTAGGACATGCGTACTGCTCTCTGCAGCATAGTACTAGTACCATAAGCCCAGATGTGCGTGGTACACCCCTATAAGGTGTTGGGTTAGGACATGCGTACAGCTCTCTGCAGCATAGTACTAGTACCATAAGCCCAGATGTGCGTGGTACACCCCTATAAGGTGTTGGGTTAGGACATGCGTACCGCTCTCTGCAGCATAGTACTAGTACCATAAGCCCAGATGTGCGTGGTACACCCCTGTAAGGTGTTTGGTTAGGACATGTGCACCGCTGTCTGCAGCATTGTACCATAAGCCCAGATGTGCGTGGTACACCCCTGTAAGGTGTTGGGTTAGGACAGTGGTGGGCAACCTTTTTTTTTTTCAACTGAGCCAAATCTCGCCAAAACCACAATTGAAATTTATTTTGAGAGCCACATTTTTAAAACTGAAAATACATCCCCCATATAGTAATTCATCCCCCATATAGTAATTCATCCCCCCATATAGTAATTCATCCCCCATATAGTAATTCATCCCCCATATAGTAATTCATCCCCCCCATATAGTAATTCATCCCCCATATAGTAATTCATCCCCCATAGTAATTCATCCCCCATAGTAATTCATCCCCCATAGTAATTCATCCCCCATAGTAATGAATCCCCCATATAGCAATTCATCCCCCATAGCAATTCATCCCCCATAGCAATTCATCCCCCATAGCAATTCATCCCCCATAGCAATTCATCCCCCATAGCAATTCATCCCCCATAGCAATTCATCCCCCCTATAGTAATTCATCCCCCCTATAGTAATTCATCCCCCCCATAGTAATTCATCCCCCCCATAGTAATTCATCCCCCCCATATAGTAATTCATCCCCCATATTAATTAATCCCCCATATAGTAATTAATCCCCCATATAGTAATTCATCCCCCCATATAGTAATTCATCCCCCCTATAGTAATTCATCCCCCATAGTAATTCATCCCCCCTATAGTAATTCATTCCCCCTATAGTAATTCATCCCCCATATAGTAATTCATCCCCCCCATATAGTAATTCATCCCCCATATAGTAATTCATCCCCCATATAGTAATTCATCCCCCCTATAGTAATTCATCCCCCCTATAGTAATTCATCCCCCCTATAGTAATTCATTCCCCCATAGTAATTCATCCCCCCTATAGTAATTCATTCCCCCCTATAGTAATTCATCCCCCATATAGTAATTCATCCCCCATATAGTAATTCATCCCCCCATAGTAATTCATCCCCCATATAGTAAGTCCCCCATATAGTAAGTCCCCCCTGTGTCAATTCACTTACCTTTGCTCCGCGCGTTCCTCTCGCCGTGTTCCCGCGCCGTTCTGGTCTTCAGGGCGGACTGTGAGAGGAGAGGAGTTCGTCACGCTGCCCCGCCTACATCCTGGCTGCCCCGCCTACATCCTGACAGCTGCAGAGTCCTGACTTTTGGGGCGGCCGCCCGAGAGGAGGGAGGGGAGGGGGCGGCCGCCCGAGAGGAGGGAGGGGAGCGGGCGCCCGGCACACAGAAGAGCCGCATTTAAGTTTGTAAAGAGCCGCATGTGGCTCGCGAGCCGCGGCTTGCCGACCACTGGGTTAGGACATGCGTTGGGTTAGGATATGCGCACCGCTCTCTGCAGCATTGTACCATAAGCCCAGATGTGCGTGGAACACCCCTGTAAGGTGTTGGGTTAGGACATGCGTATTGCTCTCTGCAGCATTGTACCATAAGCCCAGATGTACGTGGTACACCCCTGTAAGGTATGTCCTTGACACCTTGGGCTCAATGGCAGCCACTGTTCCAACTGCCCTCCACTCCCCCTGCAACTCTCAGCAGACCAACATTATAAAGGCTGCAAGCACCTGGGCCCACACCTGCTGGTTGACTACAAAACATGGACACTGGGTTAGAGATTTCTTCCCTCAAGGCATTTTGAAATTTCCAAACTATATGGAGCCCCATCCGCAAATACCAAAAATCTGTAGAAAGCTGCAGAGGGAGTTTTCTCCACTTACATTTTATGCTCCATAGTCCTACACTCACAGTACACTGTGTCCACCTATATGTACCCAAAGTGTGTGTGTGTGTGTGTGTGTGTGTGTGTGTGTGTGTGTGTGTGTGTGTGTAGTGTGTGTGTCAGTCAAGGCTTTGGACTACTTTAAGCTGTAGCGTCTCTATTCTTGGAAAAGTGCATCTTGTTCTGTGACAGCTTCTTATCTCACCCACATTCTGACCTCTTGTGCTTCCTACTGAGGTTTTTGCAGTTGGCTTTTCAGATTTATCTTCTGTGCTTAGTAACCGCAGTCTAAACACAGAGAACAAAACAAAGTAAAATCTCACAATCTTAGCCATCGTAAGTCAAGACTTGGTTGCCAGGTGGAGATCCCAAAACATTCTGATTTTAGTTGGGGATGGAAGTAGGTCTGTGTGCTTCAGCATCAATGATGGGAATGTGTAAGTTTGTAGGAGCATGAGGGGGAAGCTGCACGCTTATTGGCCTTTTGAGTCTTGAGTAATGTAGCCCATATGTCTGGGGTGCAGGTTTGGAACGGTCAGAATCTTATTTTGTTTCTTAAAAGAAATATTTAAAGCAGATCTTCAGCAAAAATCACATTTAAAGCAGATCTGCAGCAAAAAGCAAAATAGCCAATAAAAAAAAGATGAAATAAAAAGAGGTTTAAAGGATATAAGTGAAGTTATTATGGCAACAATTAAAATATTTTTATATATTAGTAATATTGGTATTAGAGACACTCCAAATACCAATATTGCAGCTGCCCCTATAAAGTGAACCAACACTTGTAAGCAGAAGTGTTGGTTCAACAGGAAGTGATGACGCCTCCTGGCAAAACGTATGTTGAAGCGTGATTCCGTCACTTCCAGGTTCCAGTAACGTCACCTCTGGCCAAGCGAGAGTGAGGCCTGGAACGCACGTTAGCCTTCTTTTTGGATCATAGAGCTGAACATGCTGATGCTGGCTAACAGCACCTTCATATGTGAGTGTACACTCTTTTTGTCTTTAACCCAAACATTATTAATAAATGCTATGCGTAGAATGGCTTAATCTCTGGTTTATTTGAGTGACTGGGCAACATTCTACCAAGAGCATGGAGAGCTGGTCTTAGAGCGATTTTGTACATTGGTTGGTGCAAATACCATTTTCACCCTCCCTGATGTTTATACTGCGGTCTGTTGAAGAGTAAGAGAAATACCATAGGACAAACAGAGACTGATTCTCCGTCAAATCTTTCTAAAAAGCACTTTTGACCACTGTAATTGGGGTCAAATAGGTCTGGTGAGTGAGCAATTCACTTATTATTTTTTATGGGCACGTGGTGAAGATATAAGGATCCATGTTATTTGGCGCTACGTGGAGATGAGACTGTCAACGCGAACAATACACATAGTGACCCACACAGGTGACAGAGACTTTATTTTGGAGACAACAAAGTGAAATTGCTATGTTAAAAAAAAATTTTTTTTTCCTTTTTTGTTGATGCACAATTATGTTCTTCTGATTGCTGTTTTGGTTCATATTTGTCAGTTTCACTAAGCACATGATCACAGCACCTATCTATTTCCAGTATCTCGCAGAAGTGAGTACACCCCTCACATTTTTTGTAAATATTTTATTATATGTTTACACTGTTATACAAGCTGTACACTCACTACTTTACATTGTAGCAAAGTGTAATTTCTTCAGTGTTGTCACATAAAAAGATAGAATAAAATATTTACAAAAATGTGAGTGGTGTACTCACTTCTGGGAGATACTGTATTTATTTTTTTTTTATACTTATAAGTTTAAAGGATAAGTTCACCTTTTGTAACATGTTACACCCATATTCATGGCGTAACCTTTAACATGTTACGAAAGGACCGACCCCCCCCCCCCCCCCCACGAAAGGACTTTTTAAAAAAACATGGTCGTGCGGGGACTGCACCTGCCCGACCACATCACTCATTCACAGTATTCTGTGAATAGGAAAACTACAAGTTCCGAAAGCCTTTTGCGGCTGTATGCTTGTAGTTCTCAACTACCTTGGCGTTGTGGAATGCTGTGGTAGTTCATTGAGTCATCAGAATGTATCTGCTTCCCCGTACAAAGTACAGCACACAGATACACTGACAGGTCTGCAGGAGTCCTGCATGGCACCAGTAATCTGCTGATCACTGGTGCAATGCTTTACAGCTCCCCAAAACAAAAAATAGTAAATGCATATTTTTTTTACCTGCAAAAAAATGTGCATTTATTATTTTTTTTGTTAAAAAGTGAACTTGTCCTTTAATATCTGGATTGAGAGTACACAATATAAAGGGATATGCTTTGCTCATATTTCATGTCTGAGGTTAACAACCATGCGTTCCTATGAAGGTGGTGAATTGTCACATGCCTGATGAAGGGGTCTTGCGAGACTCTGAAACGTTACCTTGCTGTAACTATGTGATCTTTCATTAAAACTTTTGGACTCATATTGGTGATCCTCGGTGTGCTGGTGACATCCTTGCTGACTGTGCTTTGGTTCCGGCCGACAGTCGCTGCAGCGCCCACTTATGCACACAGCCATTTTTAACGCATTAAGGTGTGCATTTGGATTGTACACTTTCCTATGAAGGTGGTTCACATGCTTGCGATCCACACGCAGTGCGTTTTGACAGTGTTTGTAAAAATGGTCTTTTGTGAGTTTGGAGTGATGCGTTCCAAATTTGCAAGCCATAGAGTATAGTGTCATTTGGAGATAACTGGTCACATAGCAATGTGATTCATAGGTGTTTTTGCATAGATGAGAGCAAGATATCTGTGCACATGAAAATCCTATGAAGAAGGAAGAAGCCAAAGTCACACCTCTACAGAAATCCCATTGGTATTCACACACAACTACATGCATAATTTGCAATACCAGTCTACAAGTGTATTTTATGTCTAGAATACTCTGTATATATGCTATTTTGAAAAAATTTCAATTGAAGCATTTGTATATGGCATTTTATTTCCAACTTTCTCAGAGTTACAGGAAAGTAAAACATGTACTATTTTTAATCATCTCTGTTGCTAAGCAACTCAGGTCGCAGGTACACCATTATGAGATGGGAGCTTACACCATTGTATTGAAGGAATGGTTAAATCACAAATACCGCAGGTTTATTTATAGAATATCCAAAAAATTCTCATTGCTTTACAGGGAGCATTGTCCATAGGTACCCCAAAGTATGTATACTTGAGGTACCTATTGACATAAGGCCACCTAGTATCAGTGGTGTATTTAGGTTTTACCCAGGCAAACGTGTGACCTGCAGCGCGTGAGAGCAGAGAGTTGGAGGCTCTTTATGACCGGATACTAATACAGAGCCCATTCTGGAGGACGGCTGAGGTGCAGACAACCCAGGGGAAGGAGATCTCTCTCTGACCAGACCAGGCTGTATACACCCTTAAGGGGACCTCCAGCTGACAACTAAACATACAAATGCGTATTATGATTATGCATCTGGTGAGTGCGTAATCTTAACATATTCACGGCACATCACCTGGTTAATCGTTAGAAATATACGGAGCACTTACCTAAGATCATTTTTGGATGGATCTTCACAAGTAGTACTTTAATGGACTTTCCTATTATTATCTATTGGAATTAGTCATTTTAGCACTATTATGTGCTCACGATTGCCATGTTATTAGCACTTTAATGTGGATATAATTTATTAATACAATATTGCACTTTGTCACCTTATTTACCATTAATCATTTGATTTGTGCATTCTATACATTTATTAATCGCATATGGTTGCATTATATTGAGTTTTAGCGCTGCACCTATATTTAATTTGATTACTTTGGAGGTTGTTTTTGGTTACCTTGTTGGTGCATTAGCTGCTTATGGTTTTAGCACTCGCTTATTCTGTTTTTATCATATACAAAGTATTGTGAGGGCCTCCCAAGTGTCACAAAAGGTCTCTTCCTGGTTGTGCAAAATAGCCGTGAAGTCTTTCATGTCATTCACTTTAGAAAACCAAAGGGACTTCAAAAGCGGGTTCAAAGACCTCCAAAAAAGGGGATGCATCCCATAGCCGCATTTAGAAGCTGGATTATAAGAGAGTCCTTATATTTATTAATTGGTCACTCTGAAAGATGTAGTAGGCATGTCGTAGGGTTGCCCTCCAAATCCACCCTAAAACGGGTGGAACTTGTAACATGTTCCCAAAGGTGAACTTATCCTTTATCTGAACAAGCTGGAGTGAGAAGCTGATTGGTTACTATGCACAGTTGCACCAGATTCTGTGTGCACTAGTTTTAGTAAATCTCCCCAATGCCTTTTGGTTAAAGGTATTTTATTATGCTGGTTACTTGGGGATAAAATGCAGCTTTTCTATATACTATAATCTGTGGTGCATGCTTTGTAATACAAAGTCAATACACCGAAGCATACTCTATATATTTTTTTTTTAATGTCATTTGTCTATATGGAAGTTGCCTACCATGTATCATGAGAAGGGTAGGCCCCATGTTGGGACAGCTTAATATTTCCTTTTGTATTGTTTGTGCAACAAGAATAAAAAAACAAATTTAAACATTGTTATACCTCTTCAATAAAAAAAAAAAAAAACTTACTTGTTTTAATAGAAGCTTTTCCAGACCCCTTAGACATAGATGAATATTTCACAATTGCAGCTGGGGACAGCCATGCTGCAAGGGAGGATTTTCCTTTCCTTAGAGATGAGCCTTAAGGACAAAGACTAAAAAAAGCATAATTACCATATATACTGTATGATATGTAATGATATCAATATACTTGTGCTTGGCTATTAAACCTGCATGTGTCAAAGGACAATCAGTCATTTTATTACAATTCTTTTGTGTTGAGTGATCATTACTAAAGTGTTCATGTTGCTGCGTTACCTTTTTATTATATACAGGCATGCTCTGCCCCTCTTCACGTCTCTATTGAATGTAGTGTGTGCTTATGATCCTGTTGGATATGGGATTCCGTACAATCACCTCCTGTTCTGGGACTCGCGTGAGCCGCTGGTTGAGATCTCTGCTCAGCTTTTAATTGTAACACTAGATTCTGATCCGTCCACTTCCTCAGGGCCAAGCATGGATGGCACCACCACAAGCACTGCCATGGACGAGGGTGAGGTAGGTCACAATATAACTCTAACCTTTTATTGTTCTAACCTCATCAGTGCTGTTCTGTGACAAAAGATTCTAACCCTTCTCCATTTCCATGTTTAAGAGCTCCGTACCAGACAATCTTTTTGTGAATTATCTCTCCCGGATCCATAGAGAGGAGGTAAGGAGATGTAGAATTATGTCTTGGCAGATTTCTCAAATTTAATGAGCATATATACTTTCTATCTAAGTCTAGCTAGCATTGGCCATACACTAGAAAAACTTCATTTGAAACATTTGTTCCAGAAATACTACTTTAAATTTCAAATTGTTAGTGGGGTCAAATTTATTATTGTTTAGTATTTATATAGCGCCAATAGTTTGCTCAGCACTATAACTTTACATTGAATTTCAACCACAGTTGAAAAATTTGAAGGAGCAGGGTGGAATTTTTAATGAACTTCTAACAGTTGAATACGGTTTTTGTAATTTTCACCAAAATTACATTGATTTTAAAATTGAATGGTAAAGGAAAATGAAAGTACTTATGAAGGACATTCGTCACGTCATCATGTACTGATTAGTCAATTTTTGTATAAATGTTCATGTGAACATTCATATGAAAAATTCTTGTGTACAGTCAACTTGAGAATATACTAGTACCTATGGCATCATGTTATTTAATGTAGGTTCAAACTAGTCTGTACGCTAGTTGTGGGTGCAGGAACTGCAGCTATTCCTGCACCTGAAACCACCTGCAGCCAAATGGCACTGCTTTTACGAGATGTGCGGGTTGCCATTGATTCTGAATCGCATCCCCACGCATCTCTGTCTGCATCCTGTCTGCGGGTGCAGGAACTACAGGGAGACCATGCAGTTTCCCTGCGGCCCCGTTTTCCTATGGGAAACATAGGCACAGCAGCCCATTCAAATTCATAGGCTGCTATGCCCAAGCAAACACAACCCGCAGTAGTGTAAACCTAGGCTTATAGAAGTTCTCAGCACCAATAATGTGTTTTTCAGATGTGCAAACTGAATAAGGTCTTTTCCTTTTTTACCATCATTCTGAAAATGCTAGTTGCTTGGCTGCTAAAAAAAACAGAAGCACATGTCACCACCAAAAGAGAGATTTCACTTCACACTGGAATAGGAAGTGAATGTAAATCTCTGCAGTGGGACCACAGGCCGTTGAAAAAAACTAGACCAAGGATTTGAACATTGGCAATTCTATGTAAAATATTGTCTAGAGGTGCTTTAAAGGCTTAGGCTGGCCATAGATTATATAGTTACATAGTTCGTCTGGCTGAAAAAGGACAAATGTCCATCCAGTTCAACCATTAAAAAAAAAAAAAAAAAAAAGTTATAATCCTATCCATACAGTTGATCTAGAGGAAGGCAAAATAAACCCAGCAAAGCATGATCTAATTTGCTCCTGCAGGGGAAGATAATTCCTTTCTGATCTCCCAAGAGGCAATCGGATATTCCCTGGATCAACTTTACCTATAAATGTTAGTATCCAGTTATATTCTGTGTATCTAAGAAACAATCCAGGCCTTTTTTTTAAAAGCAATCCACTGAGCTGGTCAGAACCAACTCTTGAGGGAGTCTACGAATTGAAGTAAAGAAAATCCCTAGATTCCCCCATCAACACAGTTAGTGTTGATGGGGGAAACCCTCCTGCTTAGTTTTTCTGGTTTCCCAGCTGTCAGAACACAATGATTACTGCTGCTGGCTTTAGCCAATAGATCGACTTCAGTACAACCAACCTGCCCATAGATGAATCGAAATTTGAACCAGTTATTGCTGAACCGTCCGAATTCCAATCCGTCTATGACTGGCTTATATAGCTAGCCATATTTAGGGTGTAACGTGTTCAGCACATTCCTATAGCAGTGCTTTGCTGTAGGAAAGAATAATAAATGCACATTTTTTTTTTCCTGAAAAACGTGCATTTATTATTTTTTTCCTTTTTAAAGGTGAACTTTAGCTTTTAATAATATTATGGTTGTGATGGAGTGTGAATAACCTCTTACTTGGGAATAATCTTTCTTCCTTAGTCTTCATGCACACGGGACGTTTTGATAACGCTGGTAACATTAGCTGTGTAAAACACGTTAAAAACATGAGTTTTTTTGATAGGCTTCTGGTCTAGGGTTTTTGGTTTGTTGCAAACGTTTTTTCATATTACGGTCTGTAAAAATACAAGAGTGGCCCTCCTGCACTGCCCAATTTTGGGTCTGTCTAGGTCTCAGCAGAAATTGGCATCCTACCTATTCATTTCGGCCAAACGTGCTATAGCTCAAGCTTGGAGAACCCCTTCGGTTGTCTTCCAGGCGGTGAAGACCCAGATCAATGCTATGCTTATCAATGAACAGATGTCTAGCATTCTTCACGATTCTCATCTGAGATTCCTTAAGGTTTGGGAACCTTGGATACATTATTCCCTGCCTCCTACTAGCTATGGCCTGTGCTAGCCTTGGATCCGTGACTTTTCTAGTGTTCTTCTCTTCCATGTTTTCTCCCTCAATCTTTCTTCCTTTCTTTCTTATATCTTTCTATGTTCTTATATTTTCTTTTTTTTATCAGCTTGGGTTTTTTTTCCCAGTATGTTCTGAGCTGATACTTCTCGGTAGGGGTTTTTCCTTAGTTTTTTTTTTTTTTTTCCGGTAATATGATGGATTGCTGCTGTTGCTACCAGGGGTGGACTGACAATTGGGAACTCGGGCACTGCCCGAGGGCCCGGGGTCAGAAGGGGACCCCATGAGATGCCCCTGGTACCTTTTCATAGGCTTTTTTGGGTGTGGTTTGAGTGTGGGCAAGGACAAAGGGGCCCCATGATCCCCTATTGCTCGGGGGCCCCATGAGTTGTCAGTCCACCCCTGGTTGCTACTATTTTTGGTTTGGCTTTTTGCGGTCACTCCTTGTTGTCATTGGACATTCTGTTACTTGGTTAATACACTCTGCTGATTTGTATCTGCTTATGTATGCTATTGTTCTGCTCTGCCCCTGCATATCTTGAGCTGCTTGTATTATAAAAACAAAAACATGAGTGTTTCACTTTTTTTTTTTTTTTTTTTTTTTTTTTTTTTTAGCTTTTATTGCATTAGCGTTCAGTGGCATTTTGCTGCGTTTAGCAGTGTTTTCCCACGTTTTGCATTTTATCAGCATTTTTTTTACCAAACAAAAGTCCAAAAAACGCCGGTTTGCAGCGTTTTACCGCGTTTTTCAACATTAAAACTCCTCCTAGAAATCCACTAGTCCTGGGTTTTTTTTTCCAGCCAAAAAACGGTGATCACAGTCTGTGTGTGTATGGACACATAGGATAACATGCTGGGGGTTTACTAGGTGTAGAAAAAAACATCAAAAACAGCAGCTGTAACAAATGTCAAGTGTGCATGAGGACTTAGGCTAACCATAGATGTGTCGTTTATCTGCCGAATTGTCGGCTGATAAACGAAAAATCAGTCGTTGCTGCCACCAATGCTTCCAAAAAACGTCAGTTTTTTGTAGATTTTCCAGCATGACCGATAAAAAGAATTGAGAAGAACCGCAAAAATTGGCCGACGACATTGCCCCACTAACAGCGTGAATATCGGCCGATTATTCGTTCGGACGAAAATTCGGCCGATAAATGACCCGTCTATGGCCTGCATAAGAGAGTATATGCTGTTCAGCTTTTGTTTGCACATCTTACTAGTTTGTGCAGTAACTTGATGAATACCTGTCTTATCTGATTTCAGGATTTCCAGTTTGTGCTGAAGGGCCTGGCCCGGTTACTCTTGAACCCCCTCACTCAGACATACCTGCCAAACTCCACTAAGAAGATCCAGTTTCACCAAGAATTACTGGTCCTGTTCTGGAAACTGTGTGACTTCAACAAGGTCAGGACGTTACCTGTTCTCTTTTGTGTGTGCAGTCAGTGGACAAGTCTCCTGCACGATCTGGGTGGTGTGTCTTATGGGCTTGTTGCTTCTTTTCTCACATTACTGTCTCTCACTCCTACAGAAGTTCCTGTTCTTTGTTCTGAAGAGCAGTGATGTCCTGGATATACTGGTTCCAATTCTGTACTTCCTGAACGATGCACGAGCGGATCAGTGTGAGACTGCACTTCCCACCTCTCTGTCTTTTACTCATCAACTCCCCTCACCTCTTCCTTATTACTCTAAAGCTGGCCATATGCTTTCGGCTGATTCAGAGGAATTTGCCAAAAGTCTAAGCGCTAATTCACACGTAGTGTAGTGACCGGCATTTTTACTGCATTGTATAACGTCTGTTACCACAAAGGACACACAGAAGAGCGGTTTTCTGTATCCCATTCATAGTGCAATGCAGCCCAGAGCTGTACTGCAGCATGCTGTGATAAAATACGGACCTGCTGTGTTTTATCGCATTGTGCTGCACAGAATCACATGACACTGTAGAGCAGAGAAGCACATTGCGCTGCTGTACAGCGACATGAATGAAGTGTGCTTTTGTACACTTCAAATAAAGTTTGTACAAATACACAAAAAGGGAACGGTGTGTGATTCACTGAATCCCGCACCACACTTCCCCCTACCGCACTCGGGAATGGACAGCTGCTGGAGAGGTAAAGTTGCTTCAGCGGCTGTCCTTTCCTGTATGAATAGAGACTTACAATAGGTGCCCCTGTTGTCTCCGCAAAAGTAGATTACTCGATGGACTTTTCTTGAAGGAGTTAGGCCAAAAATTGCTGGCTGTTTGGTGGATGGAGGGATCGGTTTGATTTTTTTTTTTTTTTTTATTCAGCTTACAGGCTCAATCAAAGAAACCAATTTTGAGTCTTGCCAGCCTATTACTTAGCCATCTTTTATCCATTTCAGCAGACATTCTATAGGACTTTATGAGGGTTGGATGTGGGTTAGGGGGCTCTGTAAGGGATAAGATTTCTGGGGTGGGGGCTTGGGAGCACTGTGGGAAGTTGGAGGGCATTGTGGGACACGGTTGCAGGTTGGGGACACTATGGAGGCTCTGTACCAGACTGGATGGAATCTGGGAGGTTACAGGATCCATAGCTGGCTGGAGGTCTGGAAGAGGGGAGGCTACGTCCAGGACTGGGCCATGGCCCGGTGGCTGAGAATCGCTGGTCTAAAACACAAACACACACACACGCCATTTTGTAAGTGAAAACAGGACACTGCAGGAAACCAACACAAACTGGGGAGAGCATTCACATGTCCTGCAGATGGTGGAAATGTATGAATAGAGGCTTACAATAGGTGCCTTTGTTGTCTCCACAAAAGTAGATTACTCGATGGACTTTTGTTGAAGGAGTTGGGCCAAACATTGTCGGCAGTTTGGTGGATGGAGGGATCTGTTTGATTTTTTTTTTTTTTTTTATTCAGCTTACAGGCTCAATCAAAGAAATCAATTTGTGTCTGGCCAGCCTATTCCTTAGCCATCTTTTATCCATTTCAGCAGACATTCTATAGGACTTTATGAAGTACATAGACTATTCCCATTATAGACTAAATCAATGGTTCCCAACCTTTTTGAGATGATGGCTTGGTAAATTCTTCCAAAGCCTCCTATGCCCCAACAGTAAAGAATAAAGTTTATACAGTTTTTATTAATAAAAAAATATTGAAATGCAAATCGTGTATTGAAATGTTGAATGGCTCTGGGTGGGGTTGGGTGTTGCTGTGGGAGAGGGGGGATGTGGGTTTGGGGGCTCTGCAGCAGACTTGGTGGCTCTGTAGGGGATAAGATTTCTGGGGTGGGGAGCACTGTGGGAAGTTGGGGGGCACTGTGGGACACTGTTGCAGTTTGGGGGGCACTATGGAGGGCTGGAGGCTCTATACCAGGCTGGATGGCACCTAGGGAGGTTACAGGATCCATAGCTGGCTGGAGGTCTGGAAGAGGGGAGGCTGCGGCCAGCACAAGGCCACGGCCCGGTGGCTGAGAATAGCAGATCTAAAACACAAACACACGAGCCATTTTGTAAGTGAAAACAGGACACTGTAGGAGACCAACACAAACTGGGGAGAGCATTCACATGTCCTGCAGATGGTGGAAATGTATTACTGCACCATTGTTTCTATATTCTTATGTCCTCTGTGTATCACTGCCTTGTTCTAACTGTTGAATATCCAACTATCTTTTCATGCAGCCCGTGTTGGTCTTATGCATATCGGAGTGTTTATACTTCTGCTGCTTAGCGGTGAGAGGAATTTTGGTGTTCGCTTGAACAAACCATACTCTGTCAGAGTCCCGTTGGATATCCCGGTGTTTACAGGAACACATGCAGACCTGCTCATTGTGGTGAGTTTTCGTAAAGTGTTGGCTCCAAGTTCAGTTCTGTAAAGTTCACCCACACTGTGAAGTAAAGCAGTGATGCATTTTACCACTCTACAGCAGACAAATGGCACCATAGTGCCAAGTGCAGGTTTGACGACTTACATTTTGCATTCACTTTATGTGAAGGTGGCAAAGTATTGCTAGCAACAGGGCTTTTTTTTTCTGGCGGAATGTGCCAAAATGCCGTTCCGGAACCTCTGTCCTTTACAGTGAGAGAGTGAAGCCCTCTCTGCATTGAAGGGCGGTCACAGAGTTAGCCGATATAGCTCACTTAGTCCTGGCTGCAGCCTGAGCGTGCGGAAGGCTGAATGATGTGCACTACGCCTCTCCTTGCAGACTGGAAACTGGTGTTGGCACCATTCGCAGCACAGCTGTGGAAGAGCGATGGAGTATGTGGGAACAGGCAAGCCTAGCCTGACTGTGACAGCTCAGTGTTAGCTGTGGACTGGAGACAATTTAGACATTTTTGGTAAAATGATTTGACAATATTGCTGATTAAAGCTGTGCATGTCTGTTAATGCTGCTTGGATATGGCCCTGTGCTGTGAATGTCTTTGCTGGATTGGGTTGTCTCATCTTTGCTGGATGGGGCTGTCTCTTTGAATATATTTGATGTCTCTTTGGTGGATTGGGCCATCTCTTTGCTCCCTCATCATATCACGACTCAACTACTGCAACTCCCTCCTCACTGGCCTGCCTCGCCGCTGGCTATCCCCGCTTCAGTCCATCCTGAATACGGCTGCCAGACTCATTCACCTTTCCAACCGCTCTGTCTCCGCCACCCCCCTCTGCCAATCCCTCCACTGGCTTCCGATTGCGCAACGGATCAAATTCAAAATCCTAACGCTGACGTACAAAGCTGTCCACCATACTGCCCCGAACTACATTACTGACCTAATATCCAAGTACCGCCCAGCACGCACACTCCGCTCCTCACAAGACTTCCTTCTCTCTAGTTCCCTGGTCTCCTCCTCCCATGCCCGCCTCCAGGACTTCTCCAGGGTGTCACCCATCCTCTGGAACTCCCTGCCCCAACCCATCAGATTATCACCTACTCTCCTCTCCTTTAGGCGCACCCTGAAAACCCATCTCTTCAGGGAAGCCTACCCCACCCCCTGCTAACTTGCCGACCTCCTCCACTCATCCTACCACTCCATCCCCCACAGCTATCTCCTCCTGTGCCACCATCCCCTCCCTCCTAGATTGTAAGCTCGAAAGAGCAGGGCCCTCAATCCCCTCATGTTTTGCATTGTATTGGTATTGTTCTGTCACATGTTCTGTCCCCCTTTGTAATGTACAGCGCTGAGCGAACTATTGGCGCTTTATAAATACTGTATAATAATAATAATAATAAAATATATGGGGATGTTTCTTTGCTAGATTAGACTGTGTCTTTGCTGAATATATGGGTTTGTCTCTGTTGTATTGGGATGTCTCTTTGCTGGATTGGGATGCCCCTTTGCTGAATATATGGGGATGGCTCTCTGCTGGATTGGGCTGTCTCTCTCTGCTGGATTGGGCTGTTTCTCCTGCTGGATTGGGCTGTCTCTTTGAATATATGGGGATGTCTCTTTTCTGGATTGGGCTGTCTTTTTTTTTTTTTTTTTTTTTTCCCCCTTCTTCAGGTTGGTGCATTGACTTTTTGGTCTTTTTGTCTCTTTAAAATTCTGAGAGTCCGTAACGGCCAGGGAGTACTGGCATATCCTCAGAAAATGCATTTTGTAAACGCATAAGAGCATATTTTAAAAACAAGTCCAGAAATGACTGCCTTGGCAGAAATTTTCAGACTTCTTCCTTGAATATACTGTACATGAATATCGCAGGTAATGGGGAACCGGTCTTGCACTTGTTACTGGCTTTTGACCGTAATTGCAGCTGGCTTATAATAAATTAACACTTTGCTGCATTTTCTTATGTTGTCTTTATTTTGTCTCCAGGTTTTCCATAAGATCATCACCAGTGGACACCAGCGCCTGCAGCCATTGTATGACTGTCTGCTTACCATCATAGTGAATGGTACAAAGTTTAGATATTGGGAACAAAAGTACTGATTTTGTTTTGGCTTAGAGGATTGATCTTCCTTTCCTGCGTTATGTTATTTACCTACATGGTGGTGCTATCCAGCATTTCTTGGTGCATTGGCAGATGAGCAGTGGCAGTTAAAAATTACTTTAACAGATGTGTGACAAATCAACTGAGAAATCTGTGTGTTTTTATGAAAATCTGCTTTGCCAGACGTGACTATGACCATGTGTGAACAAAGGGTTTTATGAGTAGGTTTAACCACTTGCTGACCGCCCGCAGTAATCTGTCTGCACGCAGGCGGCTTTTACAGACACCGTCGCTTACCTGTATGTTGGCATCTTCTTCCAGGTTCGGGGGGGGGGGGGGGGCGCACCTGGAATTTTGACACAGTGGGATTTTGTCTGCAGGTTTCAGCCAACAATTCATGGCTGAGACCTGCTGATCGGTTGTGTTTAATCACAGACCAGAGACCTGCTGATCGGTTGTGTTTAATCACAGCCCAGAGACCTGCTGATCGGTTGTGTTTTAATCACAGCCCAGGGACCTGAGTTGACAAACACACAGGGCTCTGTAAAGCGGGAACGTGTGTGTTTTCTTCTCTCTACAAAGCAGGAAGAAGATCCAAACTGATTTTTAGTAAAAACGTATCACATGTTACACACTAACACTTGTTAAACATACACTTAACCCGTTGGTTACCTCGAGATGTTTACCTGCTTCCCAGCCAGTGTCATTAGTACAGTGACAATGTATAGTATTATCACTGATCACTGTATAAGTGTCACTGGTGATATCAGTGTCAGTCAGTCTACCTCCCACCCAGTGTCAGTGTCCGATTGCCTGCCGCACTATCATTGCCTTTACTAGTATAAAAAATAAATAAAAATTCCAGTATCTATACCATAGTTTGTAGACGCTAGAATGTTCACACAAACCAATCAATATACACTTATTGTGATTTTTATTTCACCAAAGACCTGTTGCAGGATATATGTTTGCCTAAAATTATAAAGAAATTAGCTTTTTTTTTTTTTTTAACCACTTCCTGTCCGGCCCATGTATAAAACGTCCGGACTGGAGCAGTGCAGGGGCAGGTTGCCGTTCATAAATGTCACTCGCCATTTTAGCCTGTGCTCGCTTCCTGGGACACAGCGGAACACCGATTGCTGTACGGGACCTCTGTGTGAGGTCCCGATCATGTGATCACTGATTGGCCAATCAGTGATCACATGATTAGTAGTAAGTAAGATGTCACTTCTGACATCATTGCTTACTACTAGTGAAATCTTTGAATGATCACAGAGGTCACATGGTACAAGACTATTCACAACAGCCTTGTACCATGTGACAAGCTGGGACCAATCACAGCTCTCACAGTATTTTTATAGCCTTTATGGGTGTGAAAGCAATCCGTGTAAAAAAAAAAAAAAAAAAAAAAAAAAAAAAAAAAAATCATCACCCCCCACAAGTAGTACAGTGTCACTATGGTGACACTGTACTGCTAGGGTGACAGTATGTTAAAAAAAAATAAAATAAAAAATTAAAATGTAAAAAAACATTTTTTAAAATTATAATTTTTAGTTATAAACTAATTTTGGGTTTTTTTTTTTTTACTAAAAAAGATACATTTCAACCAATATTTATGAAGAAAGATTATTTGCAAAATAAAAAAGAAAAACACTTTTTTTTTTCAAAACTTTTGGACTTTTTCATTTATATAGCAAAAAAATTAAAATCCCAATAGTGAATAAATACCACCAAAATAAAGTTTTATCTGTCTAAAAAAAAAATGCTAAAAGTTTCATTTGGGTACAGTGTGTTGCATGACCGCACAATTGTCATTCAAAGTGTGAAAGATGAAAATTGGCCTGGACAGGAAGGGGGTAGAAGTGTCCGGACTTGAAGTGGTTAAATGGATATGTTATATAAGTGTAAGTAAAAAAAAATAGCATTTTTTTTTTCTTGTTTTATAGAATAAAAAAACCCAGTAGTGATCAAATGCCACCAAAAGCAAGCTCTATTTATGTGGAAAAAAAAAATATAAATTTCATTGGGGTACAGCGTTTAATGACCATCCGATTACCGGTTAAAGTAGTGCAGTGCTGAATAGCAAAACGTGCCCTGGTCATGTAGGGGGTAAAACCTTCTGGAGCTCAAATGGTTAAAAACATTTTTTTTTTTTGTCTGTTTATCCTAAACAACAACCAATACGTTTCTCCCTGCCTGTCAGTCAGTGCTTTTTCTGTACGCATGCCGGACTATTTACTTGCGTATACTAATAATTCTTTAATGCTTAACCCTGGGCAGTTACTAAATCATGAAAGTGTAACTAAAGAGAAAACTTGTTTTAGTTTTGGATCGAGTGGAGAGGGATTAGTAAGGCTTTATTGCTGTCTGTGTCCCTATTAGGGACTGAAACTGAAAGTAAAAGAAAATCCCAAATTTTAGGCTGACAACCAAACACTAATGAAGGGGAAATCTTCTAATGGGAACACTTAAGTTCTGGTGACCCTGGCGTCACACCAGGATTTGCTAACTTTGGAGGGTTTTCCTTTCACTTCCTGTTTTGGCTAATGGACAGGAAGTGAGAAGAAATCTCTCCAATGGGACACAAAAAAAAAGCTGACTGGGGTTGTAACCCTCCTTACTCTTTTCAAAATGGAGAAAAACTTTAACACTGCACTTTAACCACCTTGCCCTCCAGAGGATTTACCCCTTCCTGAAAAAAATGAGGAAGGGTTGTAACAGGGCAAACACTGCAAAGTCCTGGGAAATGGTAGTATGGGGTGATGGTGGTATTAGTGGCTACTGTATGAAGAGCGTAGGATTCCGTGTGGCACTGAGGGCAAGGCTTCCAAATAAGCTGTAGCAACTTCTGTAGATGAGAAAAAGGAGAGAAGCGCCTCTAAGTGCAATAAGTCTTTTAATTCAAGTCTAAATGTAGAAACACTCACATGTGTGAAGTAATCATAAGCATAAAAACCGTGGTTAACAATAGTTAACGGTGGGGGGGTAACCCGGGTGAAGAGCCGTCATCTTACTGCGATGTGGGGAGGTCAGCTCTCAGCTGGAACAGCGTGGTGGCTGGAGGGGAACAGCGGTGAGGCCGGCCTGCATGCACGTCCTCCCTCAGAGCCGGATGGAACACAAGCTGCTTGAAAAAGGAGTGCACTTCCGCCTTCCACGGCCAGTGCATGCTCCGAAACGCGTTGCGCAGTGCACCCTGGGATCTGACGTCATCACGGCCACACCGCCGCTACATTCCAGCGTGCCTTCCATCCGGCTCTGAGGGAGGACGTGCATGCAGGCCGGCCTCACCGCTGTTCCCCTCCAGCCACCATGCTGTTCCAGCCGAGAGCTGACCTCCCCACATCGCAGTAAGATGACGGCTCTTCACCCGGGTTACCCCCCCACCGTTAACTATTGTTAACCGCGGTTTTTTATGCTTATGATTACTTCACATGTGAGTGTTTCTACATCCAGACTTGAATTAAAAGACTTATTGCACTTAGGCGCTTCTCTCCTTTTTCTGATTTACCCCTTCCTGACCAGGCTATTTTTTTGCGATACTTTTAACTGCCAATTACGCGGTCATGCAACGCTGCACCCAAATGAAATTTATGTCCTCCCCCCCCCCCCCCCCCCCCCCCCGCCCCCCCTGCACCCCTCCCCTCCCCCCCACCCCCGCGCTTTCTTTCGGTGGTTTTTGATCACCTCTGCAGTTTTTTATTTTTTTGCGCTATAAACAAAAAAAAAAGACTGACAATTATGAAAAAAAACAGTTTTTTTAACTTTTTGCTATAAAACATATCCAATAAAAAAAAAATCTAATTTTGTCATAAATTTAGGCCAAAATGTATTCTGCTACATGTCTTTGTTAAAAAAAAAAAAAAAAAATCCCAATATGTGTAAATTTAACTGGTTTACATGAAAGTTATAGCGTTTACAAATGGCGGTATAGATACTGGATTTTTTTTTTTTTTTTACTAGTAATTGGCGACTTTTATAGCTGGACTGCAGCTGGCATTCTGACAATAGGGGGAAACAGGCTAACTGCCACTGACATCCTATGACACTAAGGCTACGTTCACACTAGCGTTGTGTGCAGGCGGCAGAAAGGCGTTTGGGAAGCGTTTTTACCGCTTCCCAAACGCCTCGGACAATTCTGCACATTGCAGCACATAGTGCTGTTCTAAGGGGAGTGTTAGCATCGCGCCGCGGCAAAACGGACGCCTCTGGTCGAGTCAGGAGGCGTTGAAGCCTCTTATTCTAGTCTATGGTGCCGCTCCACAAACGCCCGGCCAGTGTTTTGCGGTTGCGGGGCGTTTGCGGAGCGGTAACACCATTCAAACTTCATTATAGGCGTTTGTGGACGTTTTTAACGCTCAGCAAGTGCCTGGCAACCACCACTGAACCGCGCATGCAATGTTTGCAGAGCATTTGCCGAGCATTAAAAAAACGCACAGCAAACACCGGACCAACGCTTGCCAGACGCTTTAGGGGCATTTGGCAAGAGTTTGTAAAACAGTCAAGTGTGAACAAGCCCTAATACAGTGATCAGTGTTAATAAAAAGCACTGACACTGTGTTAATGACACTGGGCAGGAAGGGGTTAACATCTTTGTGTGCTGTGTGTATTTTACTAGGGCAACATGCTGCTTTGTATTGCTCTGCTATGTAGAGCAATACAAAGCAGCATGTCGGTGTTTACACATAGACCTCTCCCTTTCCACTGTTCCTTGGAAAACGCAGGGAACCTCTGGCTGGGACCTGGTGATCGACCGCTGTAGCCGCCAATGGCAGCGCGGGCAGGGTGGCGCGCGCCCCCTACCCGGAAATGCAAAATAACGTGTATATATACGTGATTTTTGCGCAGCCCTGCCGCACTGTAACAGTAGTTCTGTTATAGGGTGGCAGGGAACTGGTTAATATTGCACACCCCCAAGCTGATAAAAGTTCTAATGCTTGCTTTTTCCAGGAATGACCTGAAACCTGTACCACTTGGCATTAATTCAGGGTCCCACAGTCTTCCTCCCCACCTTTTGGGAGCAAAAAGTACTTAAGAATACCCAGCACTGCTAGAGAAAATGCGTAGCAGATTCAAGTCTACTGCTGTCTTGTTCATATTTTTGTTTTTGGTGCTTGCAGTATCTCCATACTTGAAATCCCTTTCCATGGTGGCTGCCAACAAGCTTCTACATCTCCTTGAAGCTTTCTCCAGTCCTTGGTTCCTCTTCTCATCTCCACAGAATCATCATCTCGTCTTCTTCCTGCTTGAGGTTTTCAACAACATTATTCAGTACCAGTTTGATGGTGAGTCCTTTTTACTCTCTATGTTCACACCTTGCCTTTCCTGTCACATGAATTTATCATATTGATACAATTTTTAGGACGAACTTCTTATACGTCTGCTAATTTCCTTTCCTTTTTCATGCATAGGTAATTCTAGTTTAGTTTATGCCATTATTCGGAAGCGCACTGTATTTCACCAGATGGCAAACCTGCCTTCAGATCCTCCATCCATACAGCGAGCGCTGCAACGTAAAAAGAAACCGCCTGAGCCAATATTGCGCACGAACTCTCAAGAGGGAGCATCAATGGAAGGGTCACGTCCTGCTGCCCCAGCCGAGCCAGGCACTCTCAAAGCAAGTCTCATAGCCACACCTGGTAAGCATTAACCACTTCCAGTCCGGACACTTTTACCCCCTTCCTTTCCAGTTTTCAGCTTTCAGTGCTATCACACTTTGAATGGCAATTGCGCGGTCATGCAACACTGTACCCATATGAAATTTTTAGCATTTTTTTGAGACAGATAAAGCTTTATTTTGGTGTTTTTCACCACTGGGATTTTTTATTTTTTTTGCTATGTAAATGAAAAAGTCCAAAAATGTGCAAAAAATGTGTTTTTTCTTATACAATTTTGCAAATAAATAATATTTCATCATAAATCTTGGCCAAAATGTATTCCGTTTTCTTTTTAGTAAAAAAAAAAAAAAATAACCCAAATTAGTTTATAACCAAAAAGTATAATTTTTAAACTTTTTTTTTTTTTTTTTTTTTTACATTTTACATTTTTATTTATTTATTTATTTTTGCATACTGTCACCCTAGCAGTACAGTGTCACCATGGTGACACTGTACTACTTGTGGGGGGTGATGAAGATTTTTTTTTTTTTTTTACACTGATTGCATTTACACCCATAAAGGCTGTAAAAGCAATAATTTCTCGTTCTCTCTGGCTGCATTCTTGCAGCCATTGAGAACTACTGTGTGAGCTGTGATTGGTCACAGCTTGTCACATGGTACATGAATAGCCTTGTACCATGTGACCTCTGTGATCATTCACAGATTTCACACGTAGTAAGCAATGATGTCAGAAGTGACATCTTGCTTACTACTCTGCATGTGATTACTGAGTGACCACATGAACGGGACCTCGCAGAGAGGTCCTGTACGACGATCGGTGTTCTACTGTGTCTGGAAGACACAGGCACCGGATCACGGTGCTGCGCGCTCCCCAGGGAGCGCGCACAAGCAGGGGCCGTGGAAGGCCGTTTATAAACGGCCACCCGACCCTGCACTGCCACCGTCCAGCTGTTTATATACAACGGCCGGATGGGAGGTGATTAAAGGAGCATTAACGGAAAATATCAGAAGCTGTAATTTAGGGGATGTTATTGGAAACCGTTTATGCTTGATTTAATTTTAATCAAGCCATCAGTCATATTTGTATTTTTCTTGAAAAATTAATTCATTTATTTTTTATCTTCTTAACTCACTAGGTATAGAAAAGCTTACAGAGAAATCCCAGGTATCAGAGGATGGCACGCTACGCGCTGTTGACCCTGATGTTCCATCATCACCTGGAGAGAGTGGACCATCCCGTCCCCTGAGTGACACAGAGTCTCAGACTGGGGTGTGTGGGTGTTGCATCATTTTACAGAAAAATCCTTTTTTTATGCATAATTCATTTTCTCTCTCCCTCTCCTCCCTTTATATACTGTCAATTTCACAGTGGAAAGCCTCTACTCCTTTAGTAAGGCTACTTTCACACTGAGGAGTTTTTGAAGCGTTTTTGTGTTTTAAAAAAAACAAAAAGCGCCTGAAAAGCTCAAGAAAAATGCTTTCCTGTGTATATGGATGTATATCTATGTATGTTTTCACACTGAGGCGTGCGGTGTAAAAATTCCTGCTTGCAGCATCTTCATCTTTGGGGTATGTCTGGTGAGTTAAATTTAAAAAAAAAAAAAAAAAAAAAAAAAAGCCTCTTCTCATTGAAATCAATTAAAACCGCCCCTTAGAAGCGTTTTTGGTGCAGTTTTTAAATCACGCATCCTCTTAGAAAAAAAAAAACGCTCAAAAAGCGCAGTAAAAAACGCCTATTGTGTTTTTGCCTATGTGTTTTTTTTTTCGGCAGATCAGTGTGAAAGTAGCCTAAATCAGTCCTACTGTTTCTTACCAGAGAGAGAGAGAGAGAGACTGAGTGAGACTGAGTGAAAGACTGACAGAGAGAGAGAGAGAGAGACTGACAGAGCGAGAGAAAGAGAGAGACTGAGCGAGAGAGACTGACCGAGTGAGCGAGAGAGACTGACCGAGTGAGCGAGAGACTGACTGACCGAGCGAGAGAGAGAGAGGGAGACCGAGCGAGAGAGAGAGAGGGAGACCGAGCGAGAGCGAGAGAGAGAGGGAGAGACCGAGCGAGAGAGAGAGAGAGGAGGACCGAGCGAGAGAGAGAGAGGGAGACCGAGCGAGAGAGAGAGAGGGAGACCGAGCGAGACTGAGCGAGAGAGAGAGAGAGATCGAGCGAGAGAGAGAGAGGGAGATCGAGCGAGAGAGAGAGAGGGAGATCGAGCGAGAGAGAGAGAGGGAGACCGAGCGAGAGAGAGAGAGGGAGACCGAGCGAGAGAGAGAGAGAGGAGACCGAGCGAGAGAGAGGGAGACCGAGCGAGCGAGAGAGAGGGAGACCGAGAGGGAAGAGACCGAACCGAGAGAGAGAGAGGGAGACCGAGGGGGAGACCGAGAGAGAGAGAGGGAGAGACCGAGCGAGAGAGAGGGAGACCGAGAGGAGAGGGGGAGACCGAGAGAGAGAGGAGAGAGACCGAGCGAGAGAGAGAGGGAGACCGAGGGGGAGACCGAGAGAGAGGGAGACCGAGAGGGAGAGAGAGAGGGAGAGACCGAGAGAGAGGGAGGAGACCGAGGGGGAGACCGAGAGAGAGGGAGACAGAGCGAGAGAGACTGTGTGATGGCAGCCTTGTAAGCTCACACTATAATTTTGTGGCGCTGCACACAATGTCTGGTTCCCTGGCAGTGAGGGACATTACTGTGTTCTAAGTACTCGATTCAATTTCTCATGATTTTCAGTGCTGATTCAGACACACAAAGAAAAGTTGCCTAAAGTATAGGTGAGCCGTTACCTTGCAAAACAACCCAGGCAAAATGTTTGTTTTCTGGAACTATGCTTCTTCTAAAATCAGTGATACCTATGCAGAAATATTCAGAGACAATAGTCCCCCACAGTCAGGCTTATTTTGTGATGCTTTTCTCTGCAATTTTTGAGACATGGTCATCATAGGAAAGAGTGGAATTGTTAGAAGTCTGTACAAAAAATGTTTCTGCACCTCCAGTGATCCATCCACATTTATTCTGTTATGGTACAGTACTGTAGGAGCCTCCATTGTAATCATTGCACAAGACATTGTCATTTTTTTTTTTTCTGTGCAGCTCTCAATATTGTTGGTTATTGCAGGCAATTCTGTAAAAGATATCTTTATAAATGAGACTCTGTCTCTCTGATTTAAAGTGGAACTGAACGCAAAAAGATTTGCTATGTTATAGGGAACATCGCATGTGATTCGCACAGGAACCGCACCACATTCCTGTGCAAATCACATGCGAATTGTGGGGTGGTGCAATTTGAGCTATACATTATGTATGGCTCAAATCACACCGCATCCACACCAAAAAGGTGCAGGACTCTTTTTTTTTTTTTTTTTTTTTTTTTTTTTTTTTTTTTTTTTTGGGTCTGCATTAGAATCAGATCGCATGGATATTCCGACCTATGCGATCCAATTCTGCACATCGCAGCGATTTCAGGGTGTTTTTAACTTGACATACACACCTGCAGCGGTTTGCATGAACGGGGTGTGATTCTGATGCGGTTCGGAATTCGCACAGAAAATGCTGCAAATTCTGCACCCCATCAGTGTGAATGCAGGCTTAGAAATGTTCATTTCTAATGTTAGATTTACACTGAAAAATCTACCCTTTAATTGAATTCCTCCTGAAAAATAGCAGTGTACTTCCTGGTACGTGAGTGTGCCTAGGCACTCATGTACCCATGACCCATAGTATACAGTGAAGGAAATAAGTATTTGATCCCCTGCTGATTTTGAATGTTTACCCACTCACAAAGAAATGATCAGTCTGGTAGCCCAGTCCAGCCTTGTGTAGGTCTACAATCTTGTCCCTGACATCCTTGGACAGCTCTTTGGTCTTTGCCATGGTGGAGAGTTTGGAATCTGGTTTGTTTGTTTGCTCTTGTATACAGGTAACAAAATGAGATTAGCAGCACTCCCTTTAAGAGACTGCTTCTAATCTCAGCTTGTTACCTGTATGAAAGACACCTGGTAGCCTGAAATCCTGCTGAATGATAGGGGATCAAATACTTATTTCCCTCATGAACATGAAATCAGTGCATAATTTGTTAGACATGCATTTCTTTTGAATGTTTTGTTGCTATTCTGTCTCTCAGTGTTACAATACACCTACCATTCGATATTTAGACTGATCATTTCTTTGTGAGTGGGCAAACATTCAAAATCAGCAGGGGATCAAATACTTATTTCCTTCACTGTATATCTGCAGTGTGATATCTAAGGCACTGCTGCCTTTGTTAGTCTCAGGAAATTTTATTATACTCCTGTGCTGCTCATTGTTCTCGTTGCTGGAGGCTCTTATGAGGAAGCAAAGCTCTACCTGTACCAAGATGGCCACCTCCACATAGAGACACTATGCAGTACAAGGTATGGTAAGTCAGTAATGAGGGAAAGCTCAACTACAGGGAAACTACAGGCAATACTGCTGATTTGTCCTTTGCCTTCTGCCTGGCTTTTTTTTTTTTCACAGCTTGCACTGCTTGATTCCTCTTTAACCAGCCAGCCATCTTGATGTCTGCATCAGTATTGTGTATGGATCATAAAAGAAACTCTTCAGAGAAATGTGGACACCTCCATTGCTTTTAGAAATGCTAAAGTAGTTAGTAGTTAGCTGACCTGCCAATCCTCTGGGCTGCAAAAGGCATGCAGCAAGTCAGAGTGAAGTCATAACTCCTCATGTGCATACTTGTTGTGGCACAGAACTGTTTTGCCAAATGCCAGAATTGAGTAGGTCATACATAAAGCATAATGCTCAATTCCCTCATCAACACAATCTGTTTATGGGGAATCCCTCCTGCGGAGCTATCGTATTCTGACAGTGGGGCGTTTCCCAGCCATCAGAATACAATGATCACTGCTGGTGGCTATAGCTGCCTGCAGTGATCAAATGAAAAAAAAAATGACAGGCTGGTTGTACTGAAGTCGATTGATATATATTCAGCCAGATCCTGCTGAACTGGACGAATTTCGATCCATCTGTGGATGGCTTTAGTCATAGAAGTAGCAATTCATAGAGGAGTTCAACAATGGCAATCTGCATATTTCTGTCATTCCATGTTTTCTATTAAGGTTACATGCTTCAGAAGGGCATTTGTCCTCACTTTGACTACATTTTACATTTATTTTGCAGGATGGTTCCCAAAACATGCAGAGAAGGCGGCAATCAAGTACCTCATCTCAGTGGAATCCATCTACAGAGTGGGTGAGTCCTACTAGAATTAAACAATATATAGGAAAAGACTATGCATGGCAGAAGACAAAGCTGTCTCTAGCACTGACACAGGGAGCTAAGTTTTAGTGTATGACTTCATCAGTGCTTTCTACTTGTTAATCTGCTGGTGGAGGGTTCCTCAATATGCAATAACTGATCTCAAAAAACAGTGTAGGGTGTGTGCAGATGTTGCTCAGTTCCCTCACTGAAATGACGGACGGGCGGCAGCTCTCTCGTTCTGGGAGGACTTATGATGTCCCCCCACTCTAGGGACACACAGTGCGGCGATCAGTGGTGCGATGTGTCCCTGGGACACCGCGCATCACCGATCGCAATAAAGAGCTGATGACAGAGGCTCTACCATGTGATCAGCTGTATCCAATCACAGCTGATCGCATGAAAATAGGAAATGCCGGTTATCTGCATTTCTCAAAGGGGACATCTACACTGATCAGGGTACTAATCAGTGCTGCCTTTCAGTGCTCATAATTGCCACCTGTCAGTGCCCATCAATGCCTCATACCAGTGCACATTAATGCCACATACCAGTGCCCATCAGAGCTGCCTGCCAGTCAGTGCCGCCTGTTGGTGCCAGTCAGTGCCGCCTATCAGTGCCACTTAACAGTTCCTATCAGTGCCCACTAGTGATGCCTGTCAATGCGCACTAGTGATGCCTGTCAATGCCGATCACTGCCGCCTATCAGTGCCTCCTTATCAGTGCCCATCAGTGCAGCCTCATTAGCGCACATCAGTGAAGGAGAAAAATTAGTTTCGGTTATAAAATTTTGTAAATAAGAAAAAACTTTTTTTTTTTTTTTTTTTTTTTTCAAAATTTTCAGTCTATTTTTTGGATGTTTAGCAAAAAATAAAAACCCCAGTGGTGATTCAATACCACCAAAAGAAAGCTCTATCTGTCAAAAAAAAAAAAAAAAAAAAAGATAAAAATGTTGTTTGGGTACAGTGTTGCACGACTGCGCAATTGTCATTCAAAGTGCGACATTGCTGAAAGCTGAAAATTGGCCTTAGCAGGAAGGGGGTGAAAGTGCTAAGAAATGGCCCTGGAGAATATTTCCCAGTGTCTACTATTGTGAAGGTTTATATTGGTTTTTATAGCTGTGTTGAGGCTTGTCTTGGATTTAGGTTGGAGTTGTGCTAGTGCAATGGTCAGGATTTCTGTGCATCGGAGGCAGT